CTGCTGTGATCCTGCTGTCCACGTGTCCACTAAACTCAGCGTGGGCGCTTAGGCACGAGCGGCGAGGACTTCAACGTGCTTCCCCGTTGGGGCACAATGTGTAGTATATACCTCACTGTCCTTCCCTGTAGATTTTTATCTCTCATTTCAGAGAATTACTGCAATTTCTTTTACCTGGAGCAATTGTGAGAGGTCTGGACACTACATTTTTTCTCATCTAGGCCCTATCTACTACCTATTGGACTAGCAATTATAAAAAGATACAACCTGAGAAATAAGGGGGTAAGCTTTTGAGATAGAGTATTAACCTATATTTGAATAACATAAAGGGAAACAATGACACCATTATAATTTACTTAATGTCCCACATGTGTAAGTTACTCTGTGAGCATTGGAGTCAGATTGCGTGGTCTATCCATGGTCTAGCCAACAAATAGTGTGTGGGCTTGCACAAGTCACTCTTCCCTCTGTTCCTCACTTTCCAGACTTATAAAACAGGGACGCTAGCAGTACTTATTTTATAGAATTGTTACAAGATTTTCTCTCTCTCTCTCTTTTGTTCTGAGCCCTTCCTCCCCTGAAGCTCACTAGTGTTAACTTTGCTCCTAAATAGCTTTCCAGAACTCTGTATGGTGTCCTATGTCTGCTAACAGACTTAGAGTTGCTATAAAAACCTGATGTGGGAGAGGGAGGGGGAGAGAGAGAGAACTGGAGCTGAGAGGGAGGGAGGGAGGGTGGGAGAGAGAGGTAGGATTATGGGCTGAATTGTGCCTCCCAAAAGATGTAGCTGCCTTGACTCCTGATATCTGTGAAGGAGACCTTATTTGGAAACAGACACTTTGCAGATAGAATCCTCTTAACATGTAACCATCCTGGATTAACCTAACTTAATACAACTGATGTCCTTATAAGAAGAAATTTTGGCACAGACACTGAGGGAAGATGACTGTGGGAGGAGAGAGGCAGAGATGGGGGTTTTGCTGTCTGAAGCCAAGGAACATCTGGGACTCCTAGAGGCTGGAAGAGACAAGAAGGACCCTCCCTAGGGGCTCTGGAGGGAATATGACCCTCCAGCACCTGCATCCCAGCCTCTACAGTGGTAAGGAGATGAGGTTTAAGCCACCCAGTGTGTGGTTTGGTTATGGTGGCCCTAGGAAATGAATCCAGTCAGTGTTCAGCTATCCAGTTATTATTAGACATTTGAACAGGCCAATTATCATAGTTGAGCTTTGATCTGTATTGTAAAGAAATCATTATGTTTGTTCTCAACACAATCTCACATGTCCCCATGTCATGTCTTTCAAATATGTAAGACTTGAGCTTCAGCTCATTAGAAAAAATTCAACTCTGTACCATATGAAAAGTTTGGAAGGTATGGAAGTGATTGGCATGCAATCTGGTCAGAAAATATAGACTTTTGTGGTTTTACAGAGGAAGAAACAGACAACCTATTTTCAAGGTTTACTCACTCTACCATAAAGCTCTAGAAACATGGGCATCGTTTTATATCCCATTCTGATAACAGGTATGCAGATTAAAATGTTCTTTGTAGAGACATGCTTTGTAGAGACATATATTCCTAAAGAGTAAGCCATGTCAGTTAACTGAACTTTAATGTATCAAACAGACCATTCTAAAATGCTATGCAGAGAGAAAGCCAAGCAGGTCCCTTACAACTTGAAAACCTTTACTACTTTTTGAAAGAAGAGTTGATTTTCAGTATGTCCCCCAAACACTGTGAAGTAGTCAGAGAAACTGAGAGCTAGAAATTAGCTGACCCGAAGACTGGTTTGTGTGGCACTTAGTACCTATCAATCTCAGTGCCTGCCTGTGGGGGAGGGGAGGGCTTCACTGGTCTGGACACTCTCCATGACCCTGCTCTGCTCTTCCTCGCATCACACCATCACAGCCCCCTTTACTGGTGAACCTGCAGTACTCTGGACCAAGCTCCTGGCACATACCCCGCCCCCTGTCTCCCAAGCAGAATCCAGAATCTAAAGTTGTCTTTAAAGTGGGTCTGTGTCTTGGCCTCATGTGGCCTTCGTACCCAGGGCAATGGCTGCTGTGGTTATAGGGTGGAGAGCAGAGAGGGGAAGTGCTGCTTAGCTGTCCTCCCACCCACACCAGAGACCCAAGACCCCTGACGGCAGGAAGGTGGATGAGAAGGGGTGGACCATGGCTTTGACATGCCGTGAGACTGTGTTCTTACACAAATTGCTCAGAATCTTAGAATCCTATTTACTCCGGCCTTTCCAGGCATATTTATCAATAGGTCAATAGGCTGCACTCTCTGTTTTTCAGCTTGATTATAATGATTAAATACTTATCCATATGCAGTTCATCATATACTCTTGCCTAAGGCGTCCAAAATTTTAGATGACGATCTATCGATATGTATAACTCTAAATCATGTGCAGTTTGACAAACTGATGTTACATCAAGAAAAACAAGAAACAATATTTTATAAATTGATCATTTTCCCCAGCAGTTGATAAATTGAGGTAAATAAGCCGTGGTGCACTAAGAAAAGAAGATATCCAGGAGTTAGTTAAATGTCCACAGCACTAAATTTAGTCAGAATTATGGTTATAGATAAAATATTTAGATTTTTGTTCTACTGAAAAAAATTAAATCAATAAAAAAATGTGATCACCCACTACTCTGCATTTCAAAAACCACAAGGCTACTTCTCTAAACCACTTACTACATAGATCCCAGAGCTGCTATTTCAGGTTAAGTTGTCATAAGAATAATTATAAGGGAAGAATGTAGGATAAAAATATAAAGTGCTGTATGTATTGGGGTCAGAAAAGTAAAATTGTCAGGAGTCTTAGAAAATTAATAAAATCTAGGACAACCTATAATATACAACATACTAATGACTACTAATTTAAATATCCACATTTCTGTAAGATTGATTTGCATTTAAATATATCTAAAATAGCCTAAGTATTGTACAAAAAAAACTTTATTTATAGATGGTCAGAGACAAGCTTATATTTCCACCCAGTTTTCCTTCCATTGTACATTTTTTGATACATTTAGTTATAAACGTGGCAATTTATCTAGTCTTAAAAGTGAAGAATAAATATGTAATCATATAATAAAACTGACTCCTACCGTAACAAAAAATCTATAGAATCAAAAGATTTCTAACCCTGTATTTATTCAACAATCAATACTGCAAAATTAGTTCTAGGTATTCTGTGCAGTGGGGTGGACCTACAGATCAAAAGAAGCTTTCCAACTATTGTAATCAAAGCCAGATGCAGCAAGAATCACGCCTGAATTTAAATAATGGCACAAGGGTAATTCTGGCTTCTGCCAGTTCTTATCACCTGGGTTGAAAACTGAACTAGCTTCAGTGGAGGCTATAAGAGGAGCAACAGGAATCCTGGGCAGGTAGATTTCTGGAGTGTAAGGCATTCTTTCTATGGCACCCCTTATGTGATGTGCTCTGCTCTGGGCTTGCTCCAGGCTAGCCACAGTCAGCTGCAGAACTGGGTCACTATGGAGAAGCCAGGTTCCAGGTGATGACATACTTGTCATTTTCACCAGAGCTGCCCAGCACATATTAGTTCATAATATACATGCCATGCGCCACGTACTTACTCATACGTGGTAGTGATACTTAAGTATCCAGTCAGTAGCACAGACAATCTATGCTGTGAATTCATGGGAGGATCACGTCAGAAAGGGTTCAGTATTAGTCATAACATTATTCAGGTGAAAGCCCCCATTTTCATTTTTGGATTGATCATTTTAGAAAATTTTAATATAGTAGGGGGGTAGGTTTTCAAGAGTACTGTAGAATGTGACTCAGAGGTTTAGGAGTTCTGTATCTGGAATAGAATCCCAGGACTAAATCTTACTAATGGAGTGATTAGACATGCTATTAAATTCTCTGTGCCTCCGTTTCCTCATCTTAAAGTAGTAAAATAATAAAGCCTGCTTCATAGTATTGTTGTGAAGATTTAAAACCATGTTTTCAAAATAACTTAGCTTGGCACATAAAACAGGTTTCCTTTTTCTGCTCTTTTAATCTGTGCACAATGTCACATATGCTTATATATCATTATATATATATATATCAAAATCTAGTGTATTTCTTTCCTGGTAGACACTATCAGTAGGCTTCTACACTGAGTTGAAAATTCTGTTTTTGCATATTTATTTAACTTCTGAAGGCCATCACTACTTCCATTTTCTATAATTTTTATCTTCTTTCACTTTGCTCCAGAAGATTCCCCTAGTTATATAAATGGTTTTATAATATTACTGAATTTTCTACTGTTTAATTTTATTTTCTAGTAATTAAACTCCAGGGAGGGAGAAACATTTTTCATATTCATTCCAGACCAATAGAAAATGGAAAATTGTAATGGGTGGCAACTCAGTTATTACACAACAATGGATTGCAAAAACACAGACATTATACAACAATCGTGATGGCTAATTGTATGTATTTCTAATAAAAGTTCTCCATTATGGCTGGAAACCATGAGCTTCACTCAAACCAATGACTATTTGTAATAGAAAGGAAAGGAAAAACTCCTATGACTTTCTGATAAACACCTAGACACTTTTTTTTTATAGAGTTCTAACTTTTTATCTTATCTTTCTTCTGGGGGGTGCCAGCAACACCTATGACCTTGACCCCTTCCAGGGTGGACGCACTCAGCTTCCAGGTTGCGTACTTCATGACCCCAGGAAGCCCAGTTTTCTGAGATAACATAGAAGGGCACCTTCGACTTGGGGAATTCACAACCTGCAAAGCTATCTGTGGTCTCCTTGGTTCTCTACTTCCACTCTGTGCTAGACATTTGTACTAAAAACTAGAATGCAAAGACCTCAGCTCTGAGCTAAATGAGATCAGATGAGATATGGCCTGAAATTAGAATATGGCTCATCTTCAGCTTTTCTAAACAGACTGAAATTTCTGGAGATATACCACCTACATCAGCTGCGGGCCCTGGTCAACTTTATCCACGTAGCAGACATTACTGGTCTTGGATTGGAGGTGATAAGATGGAAGTGGGATTACGATCGTAGCCCTGGGCTGCCAGGTATGATGCATAGGAACAAGAAGTAAGACTCACAGCAGATTCTGGAAAGCAGGAGAATGACAAACCGAAGAAAAACAAGATAAAAGGGGACTATTAGATGTGAGTAGCTGACTTTGTCGTTCTTCCTGCATGCATGGAGGTGGGTGTTGTGGGCATGCCCCGTCTAACCCTGGAGTCTGATGTTTAGTCTGTAGGGAACGTACTTCAGAGCCTTTATTTTCTCTGCCTGCCTGCCAATGACATTTAGAACACTGTCTAGCAAACCCAACCTGGAAGAGTTGGGTGTACACACTACATGGTCCTAGGTAGTAGAGTCATAGCACGTTGTCACTGTTACAATGCAACTCTACTGTGAGTTCACATTCTTACCCCCAGATGGGATACCGACTCTGAGTCTGGAGTAGAAACAGAAGCCAGGACTGAGATTCAGGCATTTCTGCATTTGAACATTTTCTCTTTCTTCGAGAGTTTGATTTAACCCCAGATGTATCAAATTAGAGATGTGTATGCAAGGCAAATTTCTAGTAGGTCCTCCCTGAGTATGAATGAATGTACGTTGAGTAAACATCCCCCCAAGATCCCATTAAAATGTAAACATGAAAGAATGCCCAGTACAGCTGTGGTCTTACCATTTGCCTTCTGCTGCACATCTGGCCGAAACTGGTCAGGAGCATACCACTGATAGTCTGGCTGCGTGGAACAATAAAACATTATTATAGCAATATGGACTTCAAACGTAACAGGGCTATGTTAATAATAATATACTGTGTGGTTTTTATTACGCATGCAACACAAGGGTAGTTTCTTTCCAAGCCTGTTGCCAATCTTGCTCATCTCTCTTACTCCCTCAGCACTGTTACCATGTCTCTCCACCCCTCCTAAATCCATTCTATGTTCAGCCAGAACGTCGACTAATTTGGGGTTATGACATGGTTGTTTTTTTTTTCCCAAACAGATGTGTTTTGGATAACTGCAGAAGTATAAACACTTTTGTAAAATTTTACTATAGCTCATAAATAAAACAAAGCAATTTACCATCAATGTATACTTTTTGTAAGCCCTCCCACAAGGAGGCAAAGGAAAGACTGGAGGGAATTACAAGTTTGATGTTCTGGGGGGAAGGCGAGCCATTAACTGGAGGCTTCCAGAGGCTCAGGCTGGCGAGGCAGGGCCACCTGCCCCTTCCTGCTCCTCTGTAGAGCCGGCCAGCTCAGGCAGGTGAGGCTGGGAGGCAGTGGAAAGAGAGTGCAGATTTGGGATTTTCCCTGGGGTTTACAGCTAGATATTGAACATCAGGAGACATGTCAGATGAATGGCCTCGGATAAATCCTATGTTATAGACTGGAGTTTCAAGATACAGTTTTCAGGCCAGTATCTTTATAGGGAACCTCTTGGAATGGAGTAACCCTCCATTTTGCGCTCGCCCACAAGGCCGGTCTGTCTTCCTGCTCTGAATGTGCCTGCTTCCCTCCCCGCCCCCAAACACAGAGCAGGCAGACCTTTTGTTCTGTTATTCAGTAACCTCCCGAAAATAACTTGGGACCTTTTACTAACAATAAGCCTATGGGTACCATTGCAGGGCTGCCAGACCACTGAAAGTAGCCGAAGAGTCCCATTACCTGTCGGGACATCAGAGGGGCTGCCTGAGCAGTCTCACCCCACCGTACCCTCACTCTCAGACACCTAGGCTCTTGGCTCCTTTCAGTCCATGAAAAAGCTAAAAGAGGAAATGAGATCACCTCTGTTTTTTATCTCCTCGTTTATTTTTAGATGTCTCACATAACACATAGGATAAGTGACGTGAGCCTCAGTTTTATATTCTAGGAGACTTGCCAAAAGAAGGTGAAGATGTTGTAATTTTACAAGCACAATTGCATGTGCTTAGAAATAAGTGTGAAGTATTCATTTAAAATTAAATCTGAGAGTTTTGGTAAACTCTATCATTACCCCAAGATTTTGTTTAAATGAACATTGTTTGAAAACAGAAGCCATCAGGCATGGCTTGGAGACTTTTTTCAAACACTGACCTTTATTTGGGCCCTCTTCCCCCCTGTAATCGATAGGGGAAAATTGGTGAGCTTTTTTAGTAAGTGAACTTCAACCTTCTTCCCGTAAATGAACTTTCAGAAGAAACAGTCATTTTTACTCCTAGAAAAACTTGAGTGCTTCGCTGGTTTTATAACTAACCTTTTACAAGAATATTTCTCCAATTTCCGCACCTGTAGGAGCTCATTCCAAAGTAAATTCCCACAATATTAAGTTGAAGGAATAATAACTACATTTGGAGATTTGCAGAAATGTTTCTGGTAAAGACCGAAAAGTAAGCAAACAGGTAAAAAGAAAAAGGAAATCCCAGACTGTTTATCTGTATTCACTTTATGCACGAAACATCCCTTTGGTTAAATCAGGTATGCTGAGGAAGAGGGTCTCGATGACATGGTATCTACTTGGTCAATGAATTGTATATAGCTCCTCTTGGTACCTTTTAGTCAATTTATTCATATGTATGAGTCCTGTGAATATAATGTCCCAAAGATGACTCCAGAGTACGTGGCCAGCGTAACCAGCACATTAGAGCCTGCCATCAAATAGGCAGTACATGTGTGCAAACCCACAAGCAGGTATTGTTTCTGCTCATAGAGAATACTAAGCTAGTTTTTTTTTTTTGTTTGATATGTGCCGTTCTCACTGGTGTGAGATGGTATCTCATTGTGGTTTTGATTTGCATTTTCCCTGATTATGAAGGATGTTGAACATTTTTTCATATGCCTGTTGGCCATGTGCATTTCCTCTTTGGAGAAGTGTCTTTTAGGTTCACTTATAGGAGGAAAATAGGGGAACCAAATAAGACATAAGGGAAAAAATAATTACAGTACAAAACAAAACAAAAACAGACATACAATTATAAACCAGAGATATCTTGCAGGGTTTGGGGGGGTGCTGGGGGGGAGAAGGGATCAGGAGGGAGGGAGGAACAGAGGGGACTTTGGTAATGGTGCACAGGGGAATTGGGGGAGAACATTCAACGGTATCTACACTTGAGAAGGGGAGAAGCTAACAGTGTTTTAAAATGAACAACAATGTAAATATATCTGTTATATGTAAATAAATAATAGAAGAAAAACGAAAGAGAAACATCATCTAAAAGAAAAAAAAAAAAAAAAGAGCAGGTATCTGTTAAAGTGAGAGCTCTGACTTACCTGAAGCTTCTGTGGCTTCTGCACGGCCCCAGGGCCTGTGGGAGTGCTGGGGTCCCTCAGGTGTTGGGAACCCAAGACGCAGTTACAGGCTGGGAAATATCTCTGAGGAGAAGGATGCTGTCAGTTTGCCAGAAGTGGGTGCTCACTCTGCCACTTGCTTTACAACCACAGCTTGGGTTTACATGTTAAGCTTTAGCTGGATTCTCGCATTGTCCGAACTCAAAATAACTGCCTATCCATGGGGTCTCTGGACTGGTCCAGATGAGGTTCACAGGATGAATTTTATTTAATTAACTGGAAATTAGTATTGTTTTCCCCCCTTTGAACAAATTCAAAAACATTCAAAAAGTATGGAGTTAATGTTATGTTCCCAAGTTATCTTCACAGAAGATCCTTGTTGAAAACAGAAGCTATAAAATAAGTTTTTTTAAGTTGCAATCAAAAACTCCTTTAATAGAACTAAAGTCTGGGCAGGAGATTAGGAGCTGAGAGAGAGAACATTCATCCCTTATGACTATTAGAGTACTGCGGAAAGAGAATGCTTCAGTGTCCAACATGCTGTTTTCTCAAAAGACGCCAACATCTTGGATGCAGCATTCCCCTGGAGAGCTATGTGAGCAGCTGGAAGAAATGCCAAGGAAAAGTATTTCCCAGGCGTTTGTGCATCTATGAAGAAATCTGTTTGCCCTGTCAGCTCCTGCTCCTGGTGACACAGCCCCCAGGGTCTTTCATGAGGGTCAGGATTAAGAGATCATGAAACGTGGTTGTTCTAGATCACCTGCAGCAGAACCCGAATATGTCTTTAATTGGGATGTGAGGGACAGCTTTAGCTGGCCATCAATGTGTCTGGGGAGCTAAAAGTTGCTGATTCAGCTATGATGAGGGGGTTTAGTGAATTTAGGTGAGGATCAGCATACCTGTTTTAATTGCTTTTCTAGTTTTTCTTTCTCCATCTGACAAGCTTTTATCTATGAACAAAACAAAGGCGTTTGTTATGAAAAAGAACAAATGAGATTGTTATCTCCAATACTACTCTTTATCCCACTGTCCCTAACCTGGTCAGAAGCCAGAAGGACGAGGCACTAAGGGCAGTGATGCCAGCACACATGGTGGAGTTTTTTTGTTTTTTTTTTTCCAGACAGTCATTAGTTCTCTCTTGACATTCTCAAGTAAAGTTTGGAAAAGCTTGATTATTTTAAATTTTCACTCTAAATTGCTAAGGGCTTTATATTTCCCAGTGTTGAGTTGATATGTTTAGATATGCTGCAAATACAAAAACAGTTTAATGAATGTAATTGAAGTTGGTGAGCCAAAGTCTTCCATAGTACATTTTAGAAGTAAGGTGTTCACTTAATACACACCCCATGATCATCTAAGTGCTTTATATAAAAGAACCCGCTCGCTCACTCGTGAACATGGGATACTTCATACTAGCCTGACTTTACAGATCCTGACTTTCCAAGTTTGATGTGTATGATGTATAGTTAATTTTTATGATTTCTGGAAAATCACTATAAATATTGAATTAGCAAATGGTGGGGCCACTGCTTCGGGGAAATACAGAGCTAGGTTCTTACACACCATTTTGTTCACTGACCAGTGCATAACTGTGTGTAATGTGTTTCTGCTAATGAATCTTTATTTGATATACATGTTGGTCCATTAACATTGAACTCACTCCTGAGTGAAACTCATCTACAACACATTTTCTCCTTAAAGCACATCTCATCCTTCCTTTAGGCGGGAACACTAGACAGCACCTCAACCCTGTGCTCAAGGGCCAAACTATGAAATCACCAACAAAAGCACAAAAAAATAATAAATGTAACACTCAAAGGGCCATAAAGAGAACTTTTTCTTTTTAACAATATGAGCACACAAGCAGAAAGATGGGCCTCCTTGCTGGACCATCAATGGGAGCCTGCACATGAGGTACTTGCTTTCTGCTGCCCTGTAATCTGTGCTATTCATGACTGATCTCGGGCTGAGCGTGAGTTTTGATGGGGAGAGTCTATCTACGTCCCCCTCACGATACTGTGTCTTTTAGTAGCATCCCTTCAGAATGCCTTTCAGAAAATATAGACGTTAGATTACAAGGAACTGAAAGTAGATGCTACTTATTCAACTAAAAGAAACTATGAAAAGTTCCCCTTTCCAATAGGCTAAAATCTGTTGAAACACCTGTGAGCTCACTGTTTTTCTGTATATATTTTTTTCACTTCACCATGAAAACAACTTTATGAAGTCATGGGGGAGGTTGGTAGTTATCTGTATTTTACCACTGATCCTCCTGAGAAAGGTTAAGTAACTTATAGTATGTTTAAAGACAGAGGTTATAGAGTTATGGAAAACATTTTCGGAGTCATCTGGTCCCACTTTGCCATTTTATAGACAAAGAAAAGGAAGCACAGAAAAGTTGAATAATTTGTTCATGGTTATCAGTGATTGAGTGTCAAAGGAGGCAGGAACACCAGGCTTTCTCCCCTAAAATTTTCACACTCTTACGTGCCCCTTACTGTCTCTCATTTCACTGAAATGCCTGTTTTACTATTGTCTATGTTGATAAAATAAACAAACTGGTATGTTAGCCACCAATGCCAGAATGAGTTTACATAAAAATTCCTATTTTGTCTAAATGGCTCACGTGGACAACAGATAATATGCTAGTCAAATAAGGTAATGTCATTTCTGTTATAAACAGCATTTAATCTGCTGTTGGTACATTTAACATAGATTGTTAAATCATCTACCATCTTTTTGTAAATTCTATCATTCTTTTTACTAGAGTGACTGAGACTTTTGAAAAGTAATGGTTAGGCTATCACTTTAAAGAAAAATGTTGATAGTTTTAAGATACCACTAAGATGGTCCCTTACTCATAAACATAATTACACCAAATTATATTTAGCTAATACATTTATTTTGTTGATGTCAATGAGAAATTATTTTACAGATGGACAAAGGAATGAGAATTACTTGTGGATTATAGTAATAAGTAGGTGATTGCATGTTCCTCTGGCTATATTAGAACTTCTGTAAGGTTATTCCCAATACTAGAAATTTATCATAATCTGAACTTAATGTAATAGAGTGAACAAAATTAAACTATGGCAAGCGGTAAGGTAATTTGTGTAGTGACAACTTGAAAGGACTTATGGTACTGTTACATCTAAGACATAAAAATTGAGAGAATGTTTTCCTCCCAAGAGTAATCAGAACATTTTCTCACTTATTATTGTATAAGTAGGCTGCATGACTTTTTTTCAGAAAAACATTTTATTATATTTTATCCCCTTTAATTTCTTTAGGAAAAAACTGTCAGTTTTTCCATGTAAAATTAGGAACTTCAAATTGATCTTTGAAAACATGTCAGAGAAGAAATTAAATTTAATTCACAATCTGCTTTGTATGAGGAAGGGGTAAATGACAAATAGTTTAAAATTTCTTCTATAACGAAAGATCTTGGGCTGCCATAGCAGAACATGTCCCACAACCATTTCCTATTACTGAAAAGCATTGCATGATTTTGCAAATCAACAATTTTGTGGTTCATTTTCTTAAGCCAAAACTGTGTTAGCTGCAGTTTCCTTCCCTCACATCAATATTGACCCATGGTGGTGACTTCCTGAGTCTACTTTTGATATATTCTCTTAGACTTAATTTCAATATGCTTCCATTTACTATGTTCTAGCCCAACAATGTGGTTAACATTATCTGCCTTCTTTAAGACTGCTCTAGTTACATTAAATCTAGGAGCCTAATGAATCAAGTTCTTGGGCTAGAGATAGAAATGATATTTAGAAATATGTGTGCTTTTGGAAAGCACTCAACATTGCCCTTCAAAGAAAATGACAAGAATTTAGAAACGGCTTCACTGTACTTGAGTGTTTCAGATCTGAATCTCAACAGTAGGTAGGTCCACACCCACTCCAGCAAGATAAATATTATGAGAAGCAGATCAAAAGAAACAGATTTTATTAGGAAAAACTCTGGAGTTCAGTTTCTTGGGTAACTCCTTAATACACTTAAATTAAAAGAAATCTTCCATCTTTTTCAACTCTTTACACGATTGTTTAAGAATGATTTCATCTCAGGTGTTAACCTCTCAAAAAAATTCAAGATCAATTAAAAGACAAAAATTCTTGATTTAAAAAAAAATGATAAAGAAAAACTGTGTATGTGCTCATAAGGATTGTCTTGTTTTGACTTATACCTTAGAATTCAGCCTGCTCAACTGGGATCTGGAAGTTTGGTTTATCTGTTGTAGCTCCTCTTTCTCTTGATTAAGTCTTTCTCTGTCCGATCGTTCCTTTTTGAAGTCTTCTTCATATATTTGCACCTAGGAAATATTAACTTGATGTTACTGTTAGCTGCCTTTTCTCTTAGAGCCATTTAAATGAGTTCAGGAGAGGTGCTAGTGGGTTTTTCCTATCTGAGGCATTTCTACCCTCTTTTGATGAATATTTCTGTAAGGTGTGACTCCATTCTGATACACAGGGCAGTAATTTATCTTTCACTTTATGGAGCATATATAAGGAATTCAGATGTAAAGTAATAATATTGTCATTTTGAGATTATCCCCCTTATCCATTATTCTGCTGCATATTCCAAAATATTCTATATTCCATACTGTGATGAACCCTTGTGGTGAGTGTGATGACTGTGATTAGCACTTAACAATAACAATATTGTCTCATTGTTTTGGAGCAAGTCATCCACCCCTTACACAGGCTGTGACATGTGAATACAGCTTGAAGTTCTAATGGACAGCTTCCTGGATATGCCAAAGTCTCCAAATACTTTGAATACAAAATAGAAAGGAAAGGTTCATGTATGCTGAAAAAGCACAGCGTGATGGCTGAAAGGTATTCACAACTATTACCCCAGTGATTTGACAGGCATCTCATATTTAAAAAAGAAACTAATATTTTAGCGAGTACCTCTGGAGAGGCACTCCAAATATTCCAGAAAAGGAATTAAAAAAAAACAACTATATGATTTTATTATTATTTTTAATTGGTACTCTGTTGACTAATGACTTGTAACTGTGAAAACAAATGAAGTTTCGGAAATGAAGCAAAGGAATTCCTCTAAGACCATAATTCAAATCACAACTTACGTTAGAAGTCTATGAACCTAGTACACATTGCAACTTCATCATCAACAGTGTGGTCTATCTTAACTAGATTTGAAGCTACATTAGAAGTTTATCCACTTTGAGTCAGTAATAATAATGGACAAATTGCAATAGGAAAGGAAGAAATGAAACATTTATATAACTCTGGATGCAGATACGTGCATTGAATTTTTAAGGCTTTATTCACCAGAAGCATTGCAAGTGAATTACACCCCACCAGGCTGACGTGTGGTGTAACTTTATGCTTGAGGGCTGAGCTTCAGTTAGTCGAATGCTCTCCAAACACTAGACACATTTGAAATGGGAGAAGGCCAGCCGATCAGAATGGGACATTCTGTATCAGACCCAGCACCGACAGTGATGTTGTCATGTGAGTCAGGTGCTTGGGATGCCAGCTCAGTTTCTGTGTGGATTTAAACCCTTCCATGTTTCATGGGCACTGGATGATACAATGAGTGTGGGTGCCCAGTTAGAAATATACCATTAAAATACATATGCAGAAATTTAGCAAAAGAAACACATAAAAACCAAGGGGATGGATTCTGATCTGTTCTTGGGGAAATTATGGGAGAAAAAAAAAAAAGAATAACTGTCACTATCTGCATCAAATAGGAGCTAAACCATGACTGTAAACTCCATGTGTAAGAACAACACTCTCGCATGTGGTGTACATTATACAAGAGCATGGGAGATGATTCAAGGGTCAGAACATAAGCAGTGCTTTTTCCAGAGAAATCCTGGCTAGCGCCAATAGGACTTGAGGGTTGAGAATTTGGCAGGGAGCCTTATCACACTGAAACTACCCTAGTCTTGTCCTGGGGTTCTTTTTAAGCTTGATATTTGATCCTAAATGTAAGGAAGTAGACTATACAAATAGGGTTGATAGAAGAGAAAATCCAACTTTCCCAACAAGTGCTCTGACTTTTTCAGATTTACAGATAGACTACTTCCTATATATAAAGGAAATAATACGACCATAACACAGTTGCTTAATTCTTTTGTGTATTGCATCAAGAATCCTTCTAATTGGCACTTGCTCGGCACAAAACACCTAATAAATCATACCCAGGGATATTTGAAAAATAATACTTTCCAGCTCTTTGTTTTATGAGATCCCCTCTCCCATGGCTCATCTGCAGCTGACAGTGTGTGCTTCAGGGATGGGAATTGCTAGATGTGTCCTGTAGTTATCAATAATGCCATGCACTACTCCAGCTACATTAATTTATTGAACCTCTCACGGGAGAAGGCAAGTGATACGCATGGGTGGCCTTCAGTTAAGCCAGCTTCCACTGGCTCAAGTAGTGTGGCCAGAGCTATGGCCCCACAACACTATGCTGCTGGTACACACAGAGGCTTAAGGAGGATGTGCTGTATACTGTAGTGTCCCCTTGGCAGTGGATGGGAGGGAGAAACCACCTTGATAAACTGCCACATGGTGCCATCCAGGGGTAGGCAGATGCAGTGTTTTGTTTTTTTCTGTGATAATAATCAGTCCATAGTATTCCCTTTAAAACTGCTTTCATTGAAGGAGTGAAGGCCTATAGCTACAGAATAACATGCCACTTGCAACAGCTTTCTGGAAAGTCCCAGAGTTTGGGTTAATATTGTCTTCACAAATAAATCATGTCTACATGAAACTCTCTAGGCTCAGGACTAATAGAATCTCACCAAAAGTTTAGCTATATGTCTCTCTGTTAACAGTGTGATCTTGGGCAAGCTGTGTCCTCTGTCTGAAACTCAATTTCCTCTTTTATAAAGTGTGAGTTGGACTCACTGATCTATATCCTCTGGTCACACTTGAACAGTAGGTAATTCCAATGAAAATAAATGCAAAACTCTTGGACATCGAGGCTTCCCGAAATGAAGCCTGAGGAATGGGACCTGTGGTCCTTCCTGTTTCACCTTACGTTTCATAGCTTTGGTATACTCAGGAAAAGAATAACCATCTTGTGTAGAATGTTTATACATTTTTGCATATTTCAATTCCCACTTAAATTTTTAAAGGCTTTCACTGGATCTATAAATTAAAATAAGTTTGTGCTTTCCTTGAAATACACTTATTCTTATCACAAGCATTTTATAATTCTGTATAGATGTCTATTTTCTCTGTCAACATCTCACCTGCTGTTTGAGAACTTCCATTTCTGTTCGCAACTCCTCATGATTGCAGTCCTTCTCAGACTTCCCCAAGCAGTGCTTGGGAAATGGGGGGCTCTCGATTTTCAAGGCATCCTGAAGAGCCTGTGGTATGAGATAAACATGCTGTTCATCTATGACTTACCATGTCACGTGAATTTCTCTGTAATGTTAGTCACCACAGATGCACACAAATAACAGAATGGTGTTTTTAATGCCACTGCCATGACTATATTTCTTTGTTCATTCTGATTCTCAGAAATACATTTTATTTTTATTTTTCAGAATTTCTGTCTTTTCTCGATGATGAGTATTATGTTACTCATCTGTGTTTGTTATCAGGGAGGGCACTGATGGGGAGGTTCTCTCCCCCTAACCAACCATGACAGGAAAACAGAGCCAGATACTACGCTTCAACCAAGTATGAGTTCTACCAAAAGGTCTCAAACTATAGAGACCATCTGAGTCATCCTGGGCACTGCCACCAATCCCAAATCAGTACATCTGAGGGAGCATCTGAGAATCACATCCTCAAAAGCTGATGCTGCTGGTTTCAGATGCTACTCTGAGTAACACCCTAATTTACAGCCAAGTCCCCAGGAGACAGAGGGAAGTCCACTGAAATACAGACTCAGGCAGATTCATCTTCCGATCTGCTGCCCCTCTCTTCTTCCCTGTCCAACATGCAACAACTTGGGGTGCCCACCATGGAGTGAGGAGGTACAGGGATGAAGAAACTCTGAACTGACCAACAGATTCCCATCCTTGCCATTAGCCTGTACCACTCTTCACTATACTGCACTTTGCCAAAGTGTAAAATAACATTTCCGCTATTCTGAAGAACTTTGGTTCATAATGAGTTCAGGAATACAGCTGCCAAAAATTGTGAGAGAACCTATCTCAGCATGGGGAGGTCACTCCGTCGAACTACTTGCTCAGTATCAAATGAGGCCTCTGTGCAGTTAGAGAGTTTGTTTTCAGTACTCTATCAAGAACGTACATTCTCTGTCAATATCTGAGTAGCATCAATGATGTGCTTTTGGTCACAATATTAAGAACTTACTCCCTGCATTATTATCCAGTGGAAAGGTAGGAAAAGAGAAGCAAATTTATGGTGTTGAATATGGGTATACAGACTGGGAATATCCTAATAAAATGTCTTAAAGACCGAGACCGTCAGCCTGATCTACAATAATAATAATACAATAATACCAGTTTTTTTCAGGTAACTGTAGGAGAAACAAGATTTTTTTTCTTCCTTCAATAAGAATGTAAAGAAACAACTTTTTCTTTCTTTCTTTTTTCTTTTTTTTTTTTTTTTTACAATTGATGTTTTGTTAGAGTTTGTTGCTAACCTGCATAATCTAGGGAGTCCATAATAGTTATAGTCTTAAAAAATATGTTCATAGTCAGCAGAGAGAATCTAGGGTGGGTGAGGCAAGTGAGGCAAGACAATCAAGTATGCCAGTTTCATATCCTACATGTATAAATAGACTATTTTTTGTGGGTTGTTATATGTGAATTTCTTAATCTACCTTTTCATGCTATTTGGACTTTCAGAAACTTGCACATAAGTCACAAATAAGAATGTGTCTAATAAACATTCATTCTATCATGGGTTTTTCTAGCTTCCTTGAGCAAATGCTGTTCTAGAATAGTTACTTAATATTAGCACAGACGTGCTACACAGACATAACCATCTCCCAGAGGAGAGAAGTCAGGCAAATCAGTTTTGCCCTTGGGTGGCACTGGCTGACTAGCCTCAGGTAATTTATTTCACTTTAGTTAAACATCTGGCTCTTCTTCAAGAACTTGATGAAAACAATGCCCTGGAGTATTTCCTTTCAAAGCAAATAAGTGGATTTGAGCACACAGACTTGTGTGAACTTCTGAAAACCATATGTTAATGACTAAGCTGACACGCTAAGGGGTGAATGGCTGGGGTTGGGGGTCGGCTTGTGCAAGTAGGGTGGGCTACAGACACCCCACTGGGATGATGCTGTGCACGTCAGCTCCCAAAGCAGCCCTCTGAGCAACTTGTCCCTACCAGGGAGGGGTAGGGTGGGGAGGAGAATGAAAAGAACAATTTGCAGTATAAAAGTGTAAAAATGAAAAGAAACCTAATGCCTTACATTTCATTAGGCACGAATACAAATACTAAATGAGAGAGACTTTTCACGGCTCGTCACTTCATAGCTATGTTTCTGGAGTGACAGTTTAAGGTATAGATGTATGGAATGCCACCTTTTCTGGTTTGCACATCCTTGAGCAGTCAGATGTAATGAGTTACGGTTGTGTGAAAGCACAAAAATCAGGTCCACATTGGCTATTAAACATAGAAGACACCAGCTAATTAAGTGTATTAATTAATTCATCCATTCAAAAAGTAGTATTTAAGAACATACTATGAGCCAGGCCCTATTTTAGACATTCAGGACAGGACCCAGGAAATGTATAAAATATAAAAGAACAAAATATAGAAAACTCAAGGCTTAATTATGGTTATTGCTTTTGTGAGTCTCTTCCTTCAATAACCATATGTTAAAATTATATTCAATCACTATATTTTTATCAAGATAAGTGTATGAGTATGAAAGCATTTTTGCAACCTAAAAGTTCATGCTTTCTTCTGACTTTAAGAGAAATTAAACATATTTATAGGCATCTGAAAGTATTATGGGCCTTTGACTGTACCTGAAGTATCTAAAAAAGAAAAAAATTCCTACCTTCACTGAACTTATGTCAAGTTTGGGAGACAGGAAACAAGTAAGATAATACATATGATACATTCAGTAATACTAAATTCCTAGGAAAAATTTAAAAGTAAACATAAAAAGCAGAGTATGTAATTTTAATTAGAATAGCAGAAAAATCCTCTTTGAGAAGGTGGCTTTTGTAGAAAGACCTGAATTTTACTTAAATTATTTTTTCTCACCGAGACTTTATATTATAAATACCAGAATCTAAAGGTCACATTTTTCCTAACTTAAGAATGTTTCTGTTGATTGTAAATATGAATACAGAAAACTGAAGGCTCACCTGAACATGGGCAAGAAATAGAGTTCATGACTGTTCTAATTTCTAGAGGTTTTATAGCCTGTGCCTACGGCTGGGTAAATGAACTTGAGAATGTAAAATAGCTTACATCCAAAATGTGAAGTATTTTAAATATAGTGTCACTCAATGTCAGTTTCTCTACGGACAGTTCACTGATGGAGAATTTCCAGCAGAGACAAAAAAGGAAAACTCATTTGCCCTGAATTTATATCGATGAACATAATTTTTCTGTCTCAGAGGATAAAGAAATACATTGTGCATGAGGCCAATCTCCACTTTCCCATTTTTTCCTGAGTTATAACTTGCCTAGCAAACAGGTCAAATAGAAACATCAGATTTGTAAGACACTCTGTGGACTACATAAGCATTTGGGGTGGGGAGTATTTAGTGCTTTGGGGGGTCTAATTAACTATGACATAGATCACTGTCTAAAATGCAGACTCTAACACATTTTCAAGGCCAGTCAACCACCTGCTCTTACTCTAGAAGATGATTTCTATAACTTTGGTCAAGAAGTACTGAAAGATGCCCATCCTCACTGAACCATTTATTACCTGTATTCCTATGGTTCTTAAAGGAAACAACTAAAGATTTCAGTTTCTTCCCTGATTAACATCAGGATTATTTCTCCTAGAAAATTAATCTGTGTGCACACACACACACACACATACACAGAGACTACCCTTTAGCAGCAATTCCCAGGTAGAGGTAGCCCCTTTGAGCAGCTAAGTTGAGGGTATTAAATCCACTCATTTTCCTCCACCACCCCTCCATTAAAGGCGAATGTTGAGCTTATTCTCAGGAAGGCAGCTTTCTCAGGCTTGCGGTTGGCACTTAGAATAAGCTTCCCTGCAGTTGGTATTGCACCTAGCTCCAGAGTGTTGATCTTAAAAAGCAGTCTGTTTTCTCAGGAAACTTCTGTGGTTGACCAAGAGATGCGTACTACTTCAACAAACACCCACTTGGCTTTATGTGGTTCTTCAAATTAAAAAGAAGTTGTTACTGCCGTTTATCATTTCTTCTTGCTTCTCTTTTTCATAATTCTTTGCAGGAACTACAATCCCCGAAAGCTTCTTTAGCCAAATATGGATGAAAGATGTAGATGGGAATAGTTTATAAAATTACAGAGAAACTCCTGCACGAGCCTGATAGCCACATGACAGTGAAGTTTGGTTGTGCCGCTGACTCAGGAAAGTCTCTGGGGATCATCCCACTAGCCCTGGACCATACCTTATTGAGCCGCTTAATTTCACATTCATACTGGTCCTTCTTCTTGTTTGCAAGAGCAAATTTTTCCTTCCAAAGCTTATTCTCTTTCTTCAACTCTTGTATTTCTCCACTTAGGCTCTCTTTTTCCTTCTGGAGTAAAGAGCAAGAAAGTAATATCAAGATATTATTTCTGAAATAAAATAAAAACAGAATCTGCTACATTTTCACTTAAAATTCTAATTGCAGATAAGGTTAGCACAGGAGAAATTTTCTTTTTCTTAATCCTAGTATAATTAATTTTTGTGACCCCCAGAAAAGACTCACCATCCCCACTCTTCACTTTCTTTTCTTTTCTTTTTTTTTTTAAGATTTATTTATCTATGTGTAGAAGAACTGGGGTGTAGGCCAGAAGGTGTGTGTGTGGTGGGAGGGGGGGATGAGAGGTGGTGAGAGGATTCACTAGACAGAATGAGGATCAGAACAGGCAGATTGACTGAAATTCACTGCTGAGGGGAGCAGCGGGCAGGTCAGGAGAGGTCTGCCACGCCATGTGGGTCACCTCCAGGGCCAGGGATTGAACTCGCACTGAAGCAACTGCAGCTGTCTTGCAGTGCTGCACTTTAACCTGTTATGCTACCAGAGAGGTTAGTATCTAGTTTCTTTTAAGAAACCTATGTCAGAGGAGTCATTTTCCTAAAAAATGAAAGCATTTCCTTTGGATTTTATTTAAATAAAATGGACCTAAACATGTACAAAATTTATGAGGTATTTTTAAAACAGAAAAGGAAAATGGAGCTATTGAATCTGGGTAAAATCAAAACAGCCTATTTTGGCTATTGAGGGTCAGCTTGCAGACATATCCAGGGACCTGGGGCAGGTCAAGTAGACACCTCATCCACCCCCAAGTAGAAAGTGAAACCAAATAGGTGAACCCTGGACCACCCAGGTTGAAATTCACCCAATCACTGCAAGCCTAATTCTTCACCTACTTCTCATGTAAATCCACCAATCAGAACTTGATTGACTTCTAGCCTAATTTGCATAGTGGACCAGGGAGTGATCTAGCCCACATTTTCTTTGCCTATGCCAGTCCTCCCCACCTGCCAAATCTCCAGACAGGAGTCAAAGGCTTCTTGGGTCTTTGTTTTAGGTTGCAGTCCCAAAGCCCCCAGGCATAAACTGGGCTTCCTTGTTCCATCTCCACCAGGTTTCAATTCCTGATTTCATAACATGAACTAATAATTTTCAAATGAACATAATTTAAGAGAAAATTATTTCAACTAGAAGACCATACCAACTGTATGAGAAAACAAACAAACAAACAAAAACAAAGGAAAACAACAGCAACACAGTGATTCCTGGTTTATGTGTGAAGGGAGAGGAGAAGGAGACTGAGGCTTGATAGAAAGGGAGATGTTGAACCCATTTTCCTGACCCTACTTTAGCCAAGTAGGGACTCTGGGCTGACAATGTCAGCTGCGATTTTTACACAACTCTTAATACTTGTACATATTTTAAAATACAACCAGTGCCTAGCTGTATAAGTCTTCAGTACTTCACCTGAGAATATTTGCATGTTTTGTTTTCTCTTAATAAAAACAAGAAGCCACAGAGCTCAAGGTTTTCTTTCCTTATGCACCCTATCTTCTTTCCTTATGCCCCTATGTTATCCAGGTGTCCAGTAACCGATTGTAAAGCCAGGAGGCTTTTTTAGGAGAAATTTATCACCTCAATGCCCACCCTTTGCTTTTCAGCACAGTATGACTAGCAGAGTCTTAAGGTCTGGAGACCAGGTACACCCCCCAAAGGCACTGTGTTATCAGTGTTGGCAAATCACCAGCCCCCAGCAGCTCATTTTTCTCATCTCTAAAATAGCAAAAATAAAGCCTTCCCCAAACCTGGGCTAAAAGGTTAACAGCTCACAAGAATGAAGGACTTCTGAAATATTACCGAAAAAACATAAGCTTCATCTTGCTACCTTCACATCGGTCGGTACTTCCCAGTTTGTATTATGAAACTTTAATCCTTAAAATTATAAAAGTCATGCGTATTTGTAAAGCTTTCTGTCAGCGGAAAAGCAGCTGTACAAACGCAAGGTATTATCATATTATCCTGAACACTAGTAATGAACATCATAACTATGGATAAAAGTAAAAACAAACAAAAATTAAATTTCTCCTCCTAGGCTGAAATGCCCTAGAAAATTATCACCAAATCGTTGGAACCGTTCTCTGCTGGTGACGCCGGAAGGGCACCTCCTTCCTTCAGATTCCAGGGAAGTGACCCCCTGTCTGTGTCTCAGGAGACTTGCATAACCCCTCGCACATCATTGCTGGGCAGTGAGCTGATTTTGGAAAAGCGCGGGCTTTCCAGCAGGAGCCCCCTCCCGCTCCCGCCCGCCGCCCACCTCTTTGCGATGCAGGAGACCCAGGGCCAGCTCCCGCTGCCGGTCGCTGGCTCGCTTCTCCTGTTGCTGCTGCTTCTCCGCAGTGCTGAGGAATCTTTCCGCGGCGTCCAGTTTCGTTTTCAGCTCTGCCACCTGAGGAAGTCGTGGGCAGACGGTTGCAGACCTCTTCAGAAACGCCCCTCTCCCCACAAAGATCAGGATATTTGCATTTAAATAGGTGCTTCCCCTACCAGCTCGTGGAACACCTAAAACCTCCCCGCCAGGGTCTCCCTCTTTTCTCGAAATCTCGCCCTTTGAGGTGGATTAAAGACTTGGACCTTGCCCTCGGTCTGGTCTTTCTCTACTCCGCTGTCTAGTTAGCTTTGCCTGATCGAGAAAGGGGTGTGGGGGGTGCAGAGTAGGCGAATGTGCATACCTCAGGGCAGAAACAGCTGGTCTTTCACTCCTCAGTAACCTACAGTGCTTGACCTGCTGCTCAATGGCACATTAGAGTGAGGAATTGGCCAGAAGCCTTGGGGATTGCCGTCTGGGATGAGAAGGACACCCACCGTGAACCCACCAGGCACTGGGGTGGTGCTCAGCCATTGCGTCTCTGCTCACGTCTTTGCTATGTGGAGTAAAGCTCCGCCAGCCTGAGAAATCTTGACAGGGTGGCAGTGACCATGGCCTAGTGTAAAGGAAACAGCATCCCACATTTGCCTAAATTTAGTCCTTCTAAGTATCAAAATGGGGAAGTAAAGAGCAATACTCTATATTCCTCATTTGTGGTCAGGTTTCTTAATTCAGAATTACACAGGGGGATTTACTTTTTCTTTTCTCTTTTTTTGAGCATGGAATGATTTTCAGTCACAAACGGAACATTTACCCATGAAAACGTATCATCTCCAAAAGAATTAATGTCTTTGTCACCAAAGCCAAAGCTTCTGGACAGAGAACTTCAGAGAGAAGTGGGGATGCCCCCACTTTCCCTCACACTTTCACTGTCACCACTGTTGTTTCTTTATCTGTGGAAAATGGCTTTTGCTGTCTCACTGAGGAATGAGAGATCTAGCTTTGCATATAAAGGGCATGAACTTTAAACCCCTGCTCAGCTCACGTGTATACCTGTGTATTTATGGCTGAGTGCAAGAAAACACCGCCCAGGCTACACTGCCAGGTTTGATAAATGTACATGGGAAGACGAGAGCCATCTCTAGAGGTTCTCTTTAGGGCCTTTCTTTGGCCATGGTCAAGACAATTCAGATGTTAGTCGTTGATCCTCAGGACCAAAGGGCTTATAATGCACTCGGCATACTCTCCCCATTATTTCAACAGTTGATGCTTTGCCCATTTCCTTCATGTGAATCTTCACACACTTGACCAGCCACATGACGGACTTCAACAAATACCTGAAGGAGAAAGCTCTTTACCTTTCTTTCAAGTAACTCTTTCATACTTCTAAATTGCTGGTCCCATTGATGATTCACATCCAGGAGCTGAAATTGTTAAACATAGCAAATCAGTCAAGGATCTCTGTCCATTTCGGAGTTTGGCCAAAATTTCATCAGTTTTTGAAGTTTTTTTAAGTAGGGGGAGCCATGGAGAAGACAGTATGGAAGTATGGGCCTCACCAAGTTCTGGTGGGCTGGGATGATTTGACAAAACACACTCTCATCTTTTCACAACTGGTTCACATATGAAAAGCTAGCAAGTCTCGGGTTGAACTTGGTTAGTCAGCTGAACAGCGTATCAGCAACTTTTAACTTTGTTTACTTATTTTAATTTTTATCTTCTTTGTTCACCCAGAATCTGGCAGATTTATATGCATGATTTTTTGTAAGGTTTTACTAAGACATGAAAGGTCTTTTAAAAACTTCTCCATATTTTCCTAGACTTACACTGATGACCATAGTGAAATAGTTCTTTCAGTTTTTAAGAAGCAGGCTTTATAATAACACATTCCAAAACCCCCTTAGCAATCATCCTTTGCCTGTTATAGCATGCTTTTAAAAACAACACATCATTTGTAATATGTAGTTTGTGAATGACTAACGCCACCTTTTTACAAAGTAAAGATTTTCAAGGAGTGATAGTTTTATTATAAGGTAATATTCTGACATAATTTAGGCTCCAAACAATTTGAAGTTTTAAAACTGTGCTAAATAGAAGGAAAAAAGTAGTATGACCCATGTTTCAGTTTTCTTTAGACGGGAAGTCTACACCTTCTTACATTAAAAGTAATCCCAACACATCAATGTGGGACAGACATTGAGAAGAGAGTCACAGTGACCAGAAAAAAATAGCAGGACTTTCTCCTAATTAGGAAATAAGAGTGCCAGTTTTAGGTAACTCAGGCTGAAAATAGATGTGAGAAGTTAGTATCAGACTATACAATGTTATGTAAAGATACCTGATCTGTTGACATTTGGGAGATTAACATTTCTGTGCTATGGTATCATTACTCTGTTGCAGTTTAGTGATTTTCCAGAAAGGTGTGCCATTTTATGTCTTATCAAAAAGGAGGAGTAGAAGCCACAGAAGAGAATGTGAACAGTGTTCTCTATAGAATGACTTAGAAAAGGAATTACAAAATTGACAACACACACCGTGCTAACATTGTCCTGCTTTTCACCTCTTCCTCTGTCAAGAAGAATAAAGAACTCTAATATTCATTAAACTCAGAAAAAATAGAACTCAAAGTAATAGCTATCCTCTTCTCAAAGAGATTGTAGAAAGAACCATTTTTCTTTCCTCCATAAATCTCTATATTTGGATGCCCATCTCATGAGATCATAGCACCTGTACTTAATGCTTTTGACAGTGTGAGTTCCAAGGTGTGTCAATTGCAGAGGCCTAAAGAACACAGCTGATAATCTCACATGGTCCGTGCAGAGGAAACTTACATATGGAGAACATGAAGATTTTAATGATCAGATTTATGATGTCATTTTTCATTCATTTGTGCAAATGCTTATCAAGTAAGAAGTATGTACGGGAAGAAGAAATAAGCATTTGCTTTCAAAATAAGGCAGTCAGTATCCGTGAAAACAATACTGTGAGCTGATAAGAGGTGTAAAAGGCAGCAGGTGAGATACTCCCTATTCTCAATGTTAGCCCATGGCATACATTGCTTCAACTCATATTTCTAGATTACCTCTTTTTTCTGTTTTTCCAAGCACCTTATCTTTTGTTCAAGAGAATTTGTCAAGTCCTTCCTTCTCGATGGTTGAGCACACTTAAAAAAAAAGTGAAATAGAATAAACAGGAGAAATGCTGACCAGCATTTGGTCAACTCTTACGTTGTGATTTATAGAAAGGTCTTATTGTAGCTGTGACAATCTTCTCCCCAAAATAAGCTTTATTTTACATTCTTTGTGTGAATTAATTGCCAAAGTAATTCCCTAATAAATTATCAATATAACTGTACAATATGCAGCAAGAAATTAAGATTTCATGAATTTGGATTCCAGCTTGTCCCAAATAATGAAAATTCATGCTTATAGATATCTTGTGAATACACTTTAGGTATTTACATAGTAAGTATTTCTAAAAATGACCCTGGGAAAAATCAGAGGACTGATAGACCATCAAGGAAAAAAAAAACAATTAAATTGCTAAAGGGTAGCAGACTGATTCTAAAGCCTTAATAAGTGAGTTACTGCAATACCACCATACAATTATGTTGTAGGTGAGTGAAGATTTTCCATATTGTGGGAATTTAGCTAGTTGTTGAATAAAGCCATTAGGTTACAAGTCTGTTAATTATAAATTATTGACACCATGTAAAAGTTAACCACCTTTTTATTTCTACCCCAGCAATGGGGTGTTCATTTAAATCAAACACAGCAACTCTGAAACTGCCTCCCCTCTGTCTAAATCGACCACCAACAAAGTCCATTGAAGTGCTTTTTCCTCTTCTAACGCAATAGTCTTGTTACTGTCATCTCTGAATCACGTAAATAATGTAATGAATCCAGTGATGAGGGTCGTCCCCAACTGCTGTTCAGTTTAGGTTCAGTAGTTATTGTGGATCATGAAATTACTTAAAGAAATTCACCAGTACTTAAGAAATATTTTCAAAACATGTTGGTCTTTGCCAGAAACGTTTACAGGAAATGCTCTTTGGCAATTACCATGGGATTTCAAGAACTTTTTTAATTAAATGACTTATAGAACTGTTTTGCTGTCTTCTCTATTTACCTATGTTGCAACATTTTAGGGTTTGAGAATTGTACATCTCTATTGATGCTGTTCTTAGCTGTCTTAGTTCTTCCTATTCAGACCCGTGTGTAATTAAATCACATTTTTTAAAAGACAGTGCTCTGTTGGTCAGTAAATTGAGTGATTGAACTGGTTTCTGAACTGGGCTTCCCCCTTCTTTTACAAGAGTTTAAAGAGCCCATTGTGGATCAGAACAGACCAAATATTTGACAGCTTTTATCTGGAAATGTGGTATCTACCTACTTTATGTGCTCTGAACTCAGCAAAGCAGAAGTGCAGTAACACTGGATTCTAGCCAGAGCACATCAAAGACATATGGGAGCTTCCTCAACATAGGACAGAATTTCTGAACCTGAATCAGAATTTCTGAGAAAATGTCATAACACCTGTTTTTTTTTTAATAAACTGCAGTTTTAGGTTCACTATAAAATTGAGGAGAAGCTACCAAGACTCCCCATATACCTCCAGGGCCCTGACTTAAGTAATTTTCCAGATATCAGCATCCCTCACCAAAGTGGAACATTTACTACAACCTCATGGACGTTGTCACCCCCAAAGTAGTAGTTTAGATTAGGGTTCACTCTTGGTGGTGTACTTTCTAAGAGTTTGTACAAAAGCATAGTGACATATATCCACAGTTAATATAGCATACAGAGTGGTTCCACTGCCCTAATATCCTTTCTGCTTACCTACTTACTCCTCGCCTGTTTTTAATAACTTTCATGGGTTATCGTGATTCATACTGATTTTCAGAGCTCTCCCATTCCACACGGTGCTTTAGAACATGAATTCGGTGTCCTTGAAACCCTCCTTTCTATTTGTGGTATAGACCAAGAAAAGGCTACTCCACAAACATTTGCCTGACCCTGCTTTCTGATAACCTGGACTGAGAGTAATTAGATAATGTCTGTTTTCTTGGCCTTACATAATTTTATCTGAAAAATTCAAATACTTTTTATTTTATGATAATAAATATTTAAAAGCTACACTAAATTTTCAAAAGAGAGGAAAGTAGAATAATAGGAATAGCATTTAAGCCATCTGAGTATCACCAGGAATTTCTCTGGAAATTAATCAATGTCTTACCAGGTACATATCACACGTATATATTCAAGTGAAGCAAGCACAAAATTTTGGAGGAACTTTGTTTCATTTGTCTTTGCTTTGCTTTTTAGTCACTAATGAAGGCATATGATATTACTGTTAAGTACAGACATTTATAATCAATCCAGAACTTACAGACCAGTTGTTCTTTATTATTATTATTAATTGTAAACTGTATTTAAATTATGTGACTGTTTCTTTCTCATAACATCCAGAGTGATATCTAAGATAGTCAGGTTTTGACTCTGTCAAAGTAAATACCTAAATGAATGAAAGAGTTTCATGTACTTTCTAATATGTCTTGGTTATCTTAAAAAAAAGAAAAACTTTTATAAAGCATCAATTCTTCCAGCTAGGAAGAGTCTGTAGCCATCAAACAGTCATTAAACAAAGATTTTGGTATTGTACATACAAAATTGTTTTACTGTGAGCTACTGCTATAATGTCTTCTATAGGTAATCACACCAGCATATTATTCTTTCTAAATCTTACACTGAAGCAGATTTCTCTCAATCAAGAGCAGGATATGAAGCCTGTGAAGGTGGGGAGCTGAAAGGAATTTGGATGATAGAATCTCATTTGGTTAAAGAAGAAACAGCTTAGAGAGGTCAAGGGAAATGCAGTGAACACCCAGATACTTTTTCTTTGTTAAATGACATTAGTTAAAATTATAGCAGATCTTAGCTAAAGAAAGCAAGCCAGTCATTTCTGCCTTTATTAATCATGGCATAGTTAACCATGAGAAATGCCCTAAGTGCTATCTGTGGCCAATTTCTCCCCTAGGACACGTGTTCTTACCTCTGCAACCTCTGTAGAAGATTCTGCAGCATTCATTCTACTCGTATCCTGTACAGAGTGTGCCATGCAAGTAGTTTTTCCTGGAATCTTGGAAAGCAGGGAAAAAAAGAGAGATGTTGCCGGTGTTTTCTTTTTTAGGGTAAGATGAAATACGCAAAATTTTGAAGACCACACAAAGGGTTAACAGCAATCGTTTTTCATTAAGAAGGAACAGAAGTGACTCTGTATGTGAATTACACAGAATAAGATTATGAGCACAGCAACTGTGGCTTTAATTTTTCTTCTCTTCCAAATAGGGGTTTCCCAGGATTTCTCAAGTAGACAGGCAGTGACTAAGGCAGATTAACCTTGCTATGGTATGTAAATTGTCATTCTTCCTTTACTGGTAGCTTCTCCCACTGCTTGAGGAAGTTACCACAGAAAGCCTGGGCAAAACCATATCTTTCCTCAGTCTTCTACCTAACTTTATTAGGCATAACTTTATTGTACTTCCCAGAGCAGTTACGTAACTGCTGACTTTTTGACAGCAGAGTTCCTTGATTCCCCAAAGGCAAGATTTTCTGGCAGTGCCTTATGAATCCGAGCTTTGCCTTGTGAACTTAGTGAGTCATATATAATTCTAGAAGTGCTACTCATTCTTATGGGCTGAAAAGAGAAAATAACTTCTTCCAATGAAAATTGGCATTGTTTGCCAATTTAATCTTTTCTAGTGAACATGGTTCTCAAGTTTGAGATTGTCTTTTTCATGATCAGGTCCAGATTTTCTCCATGACTCACTGGAAAGGAAATAAATCTCACGCCACTAACATTTTAGCTTTAATTCATTTGCTCCTGTAATTTTACAAGGTAGTAGGTAGGGTAGATAAACTACATGCTGGGGGATGCTGTGGAGCAGAAAACCCTTGAGGAGAGGGAGAGGGAGCCAGAGAGGCAAGCACAGAAAAAGGAAATTATTGTTGTTAACAGGAGAAGAGAAAATTGTGGTCAGTCATTTAATTTACTTTTTTCTTTGTACTTCTGCATGCAATATCCCATCTACAAAGAATAAATCCTAAAACTCATAAAATTCAAATTATTTAAAGGGTCACTAAATGGGGGTGTCCAAGCTTTGGTTCTCCTCTTTCTGTGTCTCCCACCGCTCCCCCAATTCCCAGTGTGCCAGGCAAACTGAAATCCTTGTATTTAATGAACTGACTCGTGTGTCTGAATACATGCTATTTTCCCCCCTTGAAAAGTGCCTTCCCTGGGTCCCCCCAAACAAACCTGGTCATCTGGGAGTCCTTGGTAGTGCTATTTTTGCCCCCAGACTTCGCCTGACCTCCCATGAGTTCAGGCCGAGATTTCTGCTGGTATTTACACTTGCTCCGTCACGTGTTATGCGTTCATGTCTGCCCACAGCTCTGTGGCTCAGACCTTGTGTCCAACACATTGTGCTGAGTGAGAAAATTGATAAACAGCTACATCGTAAAATTTAGAGCTTTTCTTAAGGAAGGGTGTGTATGTTTGTTTACTTTCTGCCGAGTGGGTGGGGGGGAGGGTTCCTTGGACTCTGAAGGTATGCATGAGTGGAATGGAGTGATGTTTCCTTAAGGCAATCTCCAAAAATACAGGTGGGAATCAAGTGGTTCAGAGTCAAAAGTAAAAGTGATGACTCACATCTGATCTGGTTTTAGAGACTAGAAAAGAGATTTCCTGAAGATTCACACTCCATTAACACTTAAATCTGCTCATCAGGAAAGCAAAAAATGCATATATTGTAAAAAAATTTTTCTTTCAAAAACACACACACACACACACACCATAGTTGACTTTGTGGTCTCCTCCACAAAGGGATCCTGGCCTAAAGGCATTGTCGAGCCATCTTGGTGTGATTGCTCTGTTGACTGTAAATTCTACACCTTAGCATTTTTTTCCATTACATTTCCTCTGCTATGCAGCTGGACAACAAACACATTTTCTACCAGCTCCATAGAGCCATGTGATTGATGAACAAACACTAACTCTTTCGGAGAACCCCAAGTTGGGTTTGAGAAAAGGGAACTTGACCAGGCCATTCCTAAGAATAAACTGGATATTTTCTGTGACATATGCCCTCTCTGTCTCCCCTTCACACCCTCACATGCACTGTTTCCATCACGAGACTGGCTTCTAGGCCCACTCTGCTTCATAGGAAGTCTTATCAGCTTCATTAACTCAGAGAAACAGACACATTGCTCCGTATTTCCAAAGCAGTTTTGAAGGGTGCTCACTACACAAGTGATTAGGATAGTCTATAGAAGGAAATAATTAACAGAGAAATGCAGTAAAGGAAAAGAGCAAGGAATGACTATTAATTGGTCTGTAATTATTGTTTGAATTGATGATTGTTTTTTTTATAAAAGTAGGCCCAGAAAGAAAAATAAAACATAGATTTTTATTTTCTCTTAGAATGAGGGTTGAAAAGCTTCCTCTGCTCCCTGAATGTTTGCATGAACCTTAGAGTAAATGCGCCATCTAGCTAGGAGAAAGTATTTAGTGGCCAGGAAAAGATCTGACGTTCACCAGCTCTTCCAGATTCCTGTCTTAGCTCTTCCAGATTCCTGTTTCAGCCCTGCCGTTTCAATACCTGTGACTTTGGGAAGATGCTTATGGCCGCTGAAGCTCCAGTTCTACATTTGTAACGTAGAAATCATAATACTGTCCTCCACCTAGGGTTGCTAGCTAGGATAATGTGTGAAGATCTGAGATAAAAATAAAAGATCTTAAAGAGAAGGCCTCAAGGCATCTGTGCAGTAAATGATTCAACAAAAAAGAAGGGCTGTCAGTCACTAATGCATCATCACATGCACTTGATGCTGAGTAGGTCTCAATTGAAAAGCAGCAGAGGCCCCTGCTTCTGATGAAACAAATGATATGTACCTATGTGTGTGCATGCATGCACTTACACACACGTGGGTAAGAAATAAGATGGGTGGGCCCTCCCTGGTGGCGCAGCGGGTTAAAGCACTGCATTGAGAATCTAAAGCCGCTTCTGCATGAGTTCGATTCCCGCCTGCCCCGGAGGTGACCACATGGTGTGGCAGACCTCTCCTGACCCGCCGCTGCTCCCCTCAACAGTGTACTTCATCCATCTACCTGTTCTGTTCCCGCTCTGTCTCTGGTGAAGCCTCTCACCGCCCCTGAGCCTCTGGCCTATACCCTGGTTCTGTATGCACAAATAAATAAATCTTAAAAAAAAAAAAAAAAAAAAAAAAAAAAAAAAGAAATAAGACGGGTCTCCCTGATGGTGCAAGGGGTTAAATCTCAGCTCTGTGAAGTTACTGCCAGCCACTGCTGCATAAGTGTGATCCCCAGCCAGGGAACGGACCCACATGGCACAGCAGACCTCTCCTGTCTCACCTACTGCCCCCTTCAGCAGTGTATTTCAGTCACTTTGGCTGTTCTGCTCCCCACTCTGTCTCTGGTGAATCCTCACCCTCTATACCTATGGCCTACACCCTAGTTCTTGTGTGCATAAATAAATGAAAAAGATCTTAAAAATGAAATCAGAGGATACAGAGTTCTTTATTAGCTATAACCATTACCGCAGGAGTGAGTTTTCCCCAGGCCTTGAGAGTGGGGAAATGTGTTGTTGTAAGAGGATGAGATATATTGCTTTAGAACAGCAGTGGACAATCCTAGGCATGAGGGAATCTAACCAGCCCAGTTTAACTTTTGTGAGATGACCAAAAGTTGATTTGGGTCAGATTGTGAAAGGCATGAAATTTTGGATTATGAATTTTTGCTCTAATTGCACAGGTCACAGGAGGCTACTGAAGAACCTTGAGAAAAAGAGTTACTTGATAAAAGTGGTCTTTTAGTCACAAGAAGCCTGGATGGGTGCATTATATACAGAATGAGTGAGGTTGGCAACTGCAATAGCAGTTAATAGAGAGAATCAAAGGTAATATTCAGAATATTGAACCAAGTTGTGGCAATCAAAATATTGGAATTTCACAAACATTTCATCTGGGGCACTCAGGATGAACGACTCACATGCCTATATAAATTGCCCACCTGCCACCTTTGTTTCTTGATCGTCCCCCTGAAACTTGTCTTCCACATCATCATCAGAGACAACTTTCATTCTCCGTACCAAACATTATGAGGTCATCCTTGACATCTCCATTTCTGTATCCCATCTACATGAACATTTTGTGGACCCTTGGAAGCCACGTCCAAAAAGGAGAGCAGCCCACTGCCAAATGAGCCTAAAGAGTGTGTGATGAGGTGCAAAAAATGTGTCTTTTAAAATAACTTTTTCAAAAAAAAGGGAATTTTTATGTTTGCTTCCTGGCTTTGTCTACATGGAAACCTATCAAAAATGTGTTCAGTAGTGAGTGATGTCTGTCTTTGGCAAACCCCAGTCCCACCATGTGTTTGGTAAGCTTGGGCAAGAAGCTTAGCGCCTTTAGGTTGACCATCATATCTTTGGTATTATTTTTTCATTGAAATGATATGGGCTTTCAATACTCTATGTGATTTAGGGGTACAGGTTCATCCATTCTTAGATGTGTGTCATCACACCACACCTACCACCACACCATCCTACTCCTCCACCAGAGTCCACAGGGCCCTCTTCTGCTCAGGTAGCCTCAGAGCTACAGATTCTAAGGGTTTGTGTTGGTGTAGTACTGTCTGTTCCTTCATTTTCTTTCTTTCTTCTTTATGACCCACTTAGCTGCATTACTGCAATGACATAATGGCCTCCCTGCCACACTCATGCTCCTCCCCCAGATATTATCAATTCACTAGTCACCTGGAATCTTTTTAATGTGTCATTGCACGTCACTTCTCTACTCGAAACCTTTCAGCAGCTTCCCCTGTCACTCAGAGTGAAAGCAGAACTCCTGGTAGTGGCCCACAAGATCCTATGTGGTCCAGTCTGTGCTCCCTGACCTCTTCCTCAGCCCTTTTCCATTTGCTTACTCCGCTTTGTCTGACTTTGCCTAGGACCAGCTTTCTTCTAGAGATTCTCGTGACTTATCTGCTCCCTTAAAGGACAGTTGCTCAGGTTGTCTTAGCACTATGAGGCTATCCGCAGCCACTGCAGCATGAGT